TTTAGATCAAAGATCTTAAACTTGAGATGGTTAGGTTTTTTCTTTTGGTAGGAGAAATACATACATACAATTCAATCAGGAGTAAACCAAATGTCAAGAGTGGATCAATACACTGTATCAAAAAGAACAATTAGTGAAACATAACAAGAAAATGTGAAGGTTATGTTTTCTGACTAGTTCTCTTAACTTGGAGCTTTATCACTAACTTTTTGCGCAATCCAACCAAGCCCATCATGCAATCCTTCTCCACTGACTGCACAGCTTGCTTGAATATGCCAATCATGGTTCTTGATACTGTGAAGGTTAAGTGCGTCCGTGATTTCAACAGGGCTCATAGCGTCTTTCAGGTCTTGTTTGTTTGCAAACACAAGTATGACCGAGTTCTGAAGGTCCTCGTGTCCGAGTAATCTGAAGAGCTCATCTTTCATTAAAGATATTCTTGCTCTGTCTGTGCTATCGATAACCACGATTACAGCATTCGTTCCTCTATAGTATGTTGCCCATGATGTTCTCAGCCTATCTTGCCCACCAAGATCCCAGACCTGTTAAGACAAAAATTGTAAGAAGCAACGTGCATCAACTTAAGATTTGTAAAGCCGGAAACCGTAGGACAAGTAGCAATGCAATAACATAAAAATGCCCAACTGAGTTTAACCGTATACAAAAGGATACACAAATTCTTATCGAAACCATAAGAATTGTGCCAATATCAATAAGTTCCAAAACTATGAGCTTGTGAAACCTGTCAAGAACAGAAACCGAGCAACCGATTCAACAGAAGAATACATAAAACAGTCGAATATATATAACATTCAAACTTCCATTTCCATGTCCTTACAGTTAAACCAAGAATTCTTGAAACACTGATTTTATATTTCAAGAAAGTTCAAAACTTTAAGATTGTGAAGCAAGAACAGAAACCAAGCATCCGATTCAACAAAAGATCACGTAGTAACAGTCGAAATTATGTAACATTTCAAGAAAGTTGAAAACTTTGAGCTTGTGAAGCAAGAACACAAAACAGATCATCCAATGCAAAACTAGAAACACATAGAGACAGTCGAATTACCGTAACATTTGTAAAGATTCAAACTTGCATATCAATATGTCATTACAACAAATAAGGAAACTTATTGAGTACCTCGAAGCGGATATTTTTATAAACAAGCTCTTCGACATTGCTACCAACAGTAGGATGAGTAGTAACAACTTCACCCAAATGAAGCTTATAAAGCGTCGTCGTTTTACCAGCGTTATCTAAACCAACAACAATGATCTTATACTCTTTTGCAGGAAACATCATAAACCAAAACCTCGATGCAAAAGCTCCCATGTCTCTCTGATTTCACACATAAACAATTATCAGATTTTGAATCTTTTTCTTTCACTATTCTGGAAAATTTTGATTTTTGCAAGAACCCTTAAGATAAAGTTTTGATTTTGACCCAAATTGGAGATTTACGAGACGAGAATCAGATTATCTACATCCGTTGGATCCCAGATTGGGATTTAGATATAAAAAAAGGTTCCAAAATTGTTTCTTATTTTACCGAATTATGAAAAGAAAAATCAATCGGGAATCTGAGATCAAACCTGGATTTAAGCTAGAATAGTAGCGGTTGCTGTTGCAACGGCGATGTTTGATCTGAATCGGAAGAAAAATTAAACCTTTTCCTTTGATATAAAATGCAGGTAAAATACAAGTTTTTCTAACCTAAAATACTTTTTTTGTTGGTCGAAATCTAACCTAAAATACAAGTTTTCTTTTTTTTTCTTCTAAAAAAGAAATATCAGAATAATATAAAGTCTTTTGTCATTTTTATAAAAAAAAAAAAATTTAAATAAGGAGGTTTGGTTTAATAATCTAAAAGATTTATGTAATTTTAAAACTAATCCATGTTTTTAAGTTTTGAAAACTAGACTCTCTTAAGGTAATAAATCGATAATTTTTTATATAATTTGAGAATATACAATTACAAAAATATATTTTATTGTCCACCATTGCTTGTCCAAATGATACCAAAATTAATAATAACTATGTTGTTCTTTATCATTGCTTACTGGTTTGGAGAAATTTGTTCCTCGAAACAAGCACTAGGGGGATCCGCTCCTGCACAATAGACAAAACATGTGAAGGCCGCGGAAAACACAATCTGGGGGTGTTTTCTGACGCTCAAATTAGAATAGAGGACAAAGAGAGAAATGAGAGAGCTTCACCACGATGAGTCGAAGGGAGTCAAAGATAAAAGAGTCGGAAAATAAGAGTTTAAGGAAAGGGTGACTCCGAGTCCGAAAGAAGGTTGGATCCACGGAGTATCAGCACTTTTAGTAAGAAATTTGGTGGTGAGAGATATGAGAAAAGGGAAACAGAGGAAGAGATGGAAGGATTCCGATCGAAGAGTGATCAGAGCCAGAAAAGAAAATCAGGCGAATCTGAGAGTATTGGCCCTAAACAGTCGGAAATAGAGGATCTTAAGACTATATTTTTTTTGATCGCTCAAAATATCTCTTTAGTATAGAGTGAAAGTAAAATGACCAAGATCCACATTTATGAGATAGATAACAGTGTATTCATACATTTTTATCTATCCGGGTTCGAATACTGGGTACCATGTTCCTGATTCGACGCGGGTTTAGGTCTTCAGGTCTGGATATGTACGTTGCACTTGAGTGCTTTTCTTCTGCCCTCGCTGACTTTGCAGGCCACTTGTCTGACAGCTCAGTGTGTGACAATGCGCTTTGACTCCTCGTATTTTTGGCAGCTGCTCCAGTTTATACGCCGGGGTATTCCATAGATTCAACTTTGTCATGCTTAATCACCATCCGTGACATGAGTCACTTGTTTTTACTCTATCACATGTAGAGTAAAAAAAGTTTTCACCCATTGACTGAAAATTTGAACATTGAGAAGCGAGGGAAATAGGGTTTAGGTGCGTTAATGAAATATTTCCTACCTTGCCCGAACCCTTTATAAGAGGACTCGGGATATGCATTCCTTTCCCGGGTAGCGATACCATGTAACGGTTTTCGTACCTGTCCCGGGTCCTTTACCTCCGGATAGCATGGCAGCGCTACTGGAGGTCTGTAGGACCCAAATTTCTTCTTTGTGCGGTGTTTGGGCCATTGTAGGATTACTAAATCTAACAATTTTAAACCCTAAAAAAAGTTTTGATCTCCAACAAACCCTAAACTCTCAAAAGTAAATCCTACTATTGAACCCAAATATAAATGATATATTGAGTAAATAATCTTGAAAAGGTGGTATTTTTACAAAGATTTTGAAAAATGACATTTTTGAAAAGTGTCATTTCAAAAGTGGCATTTCTCCAAAATTCTCAAATTTCTTTTGCTTTATTTATGGAAAAAAATAATGTGAATTTAGTTATAGAAGATTTGCCAGAAGATTTTTGTTATAACTCAAAATTTTCATGTCGTTTTTTTAAGTCATGTCATAATTATTTTTGTGAGAGTGAATGTGGAGATAACACATAAGCACTTTCTCACAAATAACTTCCCAAAAATGTATTAAAAGACAATATTTGTTTATTTATCTAAAGTCCCATGACCCTTGGGCACAAGATGCTCACTAATCTATATATATAATAGCAAAGTTTTCTCTCTATCTAAGGTGTCCACATAGGCAAAACATTTTCTTTACAATTAGTTTTAATTTTAATTAAATTTTATTTAATTCATGTTTGTGTATATTTATTGTCACTTATAGTTTCTAAAATTTCTAATTAAATAAAAACGAAAATAAGTCAACAAATAACTAAAAGTAGTACATATAAAACTATTTGAATATTTAAAATTACATCAATAAATATATTTGATTATGAGCTTAGGATAACGATAAAAATTTATATATTTAATTTCAAAAATTGAAAATATGTAAAATGAATATACATATGAGAACAAATGAATAAAAATATAAAAGACATAAAAAAATTTAAATAATACTGGTGTCAAACGATTGTTAAGAGGTTGTTGATTTAAACAGAAAGAATATATATTATTTTACTAAAAGGATATTGAACCATTTCACTAAAGATGAGATAATAAGATAAAACTTATTTTTAACAAGGTTTCCTACTTGTTTAGGAAGGTGTTTAGGAAGGCCTTCCTAAACAAGTGAAAATCATTCCTAAACTTATTCTTACGAATGTTTCCTACTTGTTTAGTAAGACCATCCTAAACAAGTGAAAATCCTTCCTAAACTTATTTTTAGGAAGGTTTCCTACTTGTTTAGGAATGTGTTTAGGAAGGCCTTCCTAAACAAGCGAAAATCTTTCCTAAACTTATTTCTAGGAGGTTTCGTACTTGTTTAAGAAGGTATTTATGAAGGCCTTCCTAAACAAGTGAAAATCTTTACTAAAATTTTTTTAAGAAGTTTTCTTACTTGTAATATAAATTAAGCCCCATGAATTTTAGGCACAACATGACAACATTAACTAATCACTGAAAAACTTCAATTAAGATTTAATAAAATACATGTCACATTATGATAAACCAATTACATAATCTTTATTCAAAAAAAAATAAAGTAGAATAAAGCAATACCAAAGACTATATTTCTTACAACATTATTAATTAGAACCTATCAATGATCACATTAGCATCATTAGCATCATTAGCACCGATCTGGAACTGAAATGCTCTTGAAAGAACATTAGGATCTATAGGTGGGTGAGACCCAAACACTGTTTCAGCAACCGCTGGAGTTTGTCCTAAGTTAAACTGGAAACACAAATACATCACCCGCGTTAAGTGTATGAGTATAAGTAATGCAACAATGAGCATAAAAGTATATTAACGAAGTTAAGAAATCAATATTCGCATACCTCCTTCTGCTGGTGTGTTGTCGCCGTCGACGCAGAAATCTTGAAGGGAGATCAGAAGCAATGGTTAATGTAAGTGTTAAAGCCAAAAGGGGTAGAACTGCAAGAAATGAGAGAGTATTTATTGCCATATGTATGTATCGAGACGATTCTTAGAAAAAGAAGAAGAAGATGGATTATGTTAGTTTGTTGATTTTGGTTTTGAGAAACTTATGAGACAAAGAGTTCAATTTATATATAGATTGTTTTGGGGTTTGAACAAATTAAACGGTAAAATGTTGATTAAATTGAGGAAGCCGTGTTAAGAATTATTAGATTATTGTATTGTTTTTTTTTTTTGTCGGAGATTATTGTATTGTTTAAAGGGAAATTAGCATAAATGACTATAAAAAAAAACAAATCTAATAATTTACCAAAAAACATCCATGTGGTCAAATCTTAATCACTAAATTTAGGAGTTTTAGTTAGATTATTAGGTAATATTTTTTTTTCCGGTTATTCAACCAATTGACCGTTGTTTAAATGTAGCTTTCATTATCTAAAAGTTTGAAATGGTCAAAGTCGTATTATGTTGGGAGTTTTAAATTATTTAAATGTTACCATGCTTATGGTAGTAATATATTAAAAGTTT